GATAAATGATACACGTCAACATAATGATTATACAATCAACTTATTAGAATTAGAAAGTGTATCGATTTGTGATGTGTATTCGACAATTTTATTTATTTTTCGATTCGATGATAAATAACTATATTAATCTTTTTCATTTTCTCTCTACTCATGTTTAATATTTTTTTTTTTTGTTCTATTATTTTTATTTACTTATAGTCGCACGAGAGAGAGAGAGAGAGAGAGAGAGAGAGAGAGAGAGAGAGATATCGCGTATTCCAGTGAACCGTTTAAATGTGAGAACGTTCGTTTTCCACGTATTGAAAATGTGCTCAATCCTACTGGCGGAGGATTTATCATTTTCCACCATCTTGGAAGGAACCAGTGAAGGTTCGTTCGAAGTTTCCATGCAATGGACGCCGGGGATGGAAGAGACGGTATCATTGAACCGTTTCTTTCTCCGGTTTCCCTTCTCTCAGTTTGCCCATTGTCTCGTTCGTCACGATTCATATTCTTTCTTTTTCCCCCTGAACTCCCCCACCCCCACCCACGAGTCTTACCCTGGTCTCTTGTTCAAAGTTACACGAATGCGTTAGATAATTTTATCGACGCTGGATCGAGACACATAATACACAAGGAACATTGCCTCATAGGGAAAGAAAATATTCGATGTAAATTCGTCTGGTTTTGTAGACACAAATATAATATCACTATGATCTCTGAGAACCATGGAACGTGTAAAAAGTTTCGCTAAAATGTTGCAAACAATCGACGGGACGTTTTCCAACGTCGAATAAATGAGACTGATATTCGTTTCGTATAGAATTATTCATTATTTGAATAAATTTGGAATTGTATTTCTTCGAGGGGGTTTTCTTTTTTTCTTTTTTTAAACATATTGCGAAAAAAAAAAAACGAAAAAATAGAAAGTAGAAGCGTGACTTTTAAATTTAAAAAAAAAGAATTCAGCACATCATCTTTCTCCTATTACGTATTTTTTCTTGCGAATATTAACTAATTAATTCCAATATCTCGAAATTTCGTCATAATATGAATATTAAGATTACTTACCCGAGAATTCTTCCAGCTTCGGGACTCCTATAGAAGTCACATTTATGCAAGGATCTTCGAGAATCATCCGAAAATTTTTGACCTGTTGTCCGACACAAGGCACGATAGATTTGAAACTGAAGGACTCCGGCAACGAAGTTTCTATTAAAAAAAAAAACATATACGATTTATCGATAAGCAATTGAAATTATAAATAACTCGTGTATAAAATATTAACAAATGTTTTTACAAAATTTTTATATTATTTTCAACACAAAAAAACAGCATAATATTATTATGATAATTATAAATATATAATTCATCATTGTGTAACATATAAATTAATAAATAAAAAAAGAAACTATATCATGTGTGATAATGATACATTTTTATATTAAAAATAAATAAATAATATCTGTCAAAGTGAAATCACGAATTTTAATATTCGATGATCTAGGTAGACAAATTTGGGTGGACCTTGAAGAATGATTAGCAAGGTCAGGGTCATCAAAGTGGTAGTTATATTCTCGGTCTATTCGACGTGTAATTCGATGCCATCGTCGATACTTATCTTCGTTTAATAGATCGACTCTAGGATAACAAGGAGAGAAAGAGAGCTTTTTGTATGTGCCTGTATAAACGTATGTGTGTGTGAGACCAGGTCATCCTGGATACGAGCACGCGAAGACATCAGCGTTTCACCTCAAATTCCTCATCGGCAGCGACCTTTACGTAATGGCGGTGGATCGAAATCGCGAACATCGTTTCTCTACTTTCCACAGTTAAAAAAATAAACGAACGATATGATTTTATTTAAGTTAAAGTAATCAATTTATTGCTAGAATAACTCTTGCAACACAGATATTATTATTAATTTTTCTATTTGTTAAATTCCTTTTTTTATCATCTTTCCCCGAGTGCATCCGAATTTTTTTTCGGTACCTTTTAGGAACAAGGATATAAAGAAATCGAGACAGTGTGTTACGCGAATTTATATCTCATTAAAATAACGTCTGGTTCTTCTGTTTCTTTTTATTTTTTTTTATATAATATATATATATATGTTTAATTTATACGAAATTCTTTCCTTTTTCATTTGACTTTTATATTATGCATGCACCATTCTCAATATTTTGAATAAAATGATGTATAATAATATTTATGCTCTTTCGCAAACATGTAAACTAACACAGACGGTGATGTTTATGTTTTAATTATTATGCACGAAAACGTGATATTAAAAAACGAAAGAAAAAAAAAAGTAAGAAGATGAAGAAGCCAAGGGGATTCGAAGATATGTCGTTTTATGGAATCAAGGATCGTTCGAAATTTTATCGGTTGACCTTTCGCGAACGTATTTATGTTTCATCTAATAATAAGAGAATCTAGCCCCGAGTGCATTACTCGAGTTTTCTATTGTAAAAATGAAGGAATCCGATTTGATCTTAATTCCCCCCCGAGGGAAAATAAAATATAGTTATCTAGTTTGTCTAATCAATGGGGCGGCTGCTGTTAGATCGGATTTATACGCATCAATGAGTTCAAGACCTTAGCCGTGAATAGCATAACCATGATTCATCCATTTACATCGATGATCCATTCTCGGTTCATGATCGGAAATGGACTAGAAAAATTGTTGGATAGTCCGTGATCGTTTTTACCCCTTTTGCATTATTATTTTCTTTTTTTCTTTTACTTCGCACGCTCGAATAATTTCGACGATTTCATACGACGTGCGTGCGTGTTCGAGGATTGTAAAAAAATTCGAACAGAAAAAAAAATAAAAGGGAGGGAGAGAGGGAGGGACAAGATAAAAATTAGAATCAAATTCTATTGATTTATTTTTCACGTGTTTCATATGTATTTAACGCAACGTGGCTTTTTACGCTTTATAAACATTGCGAAAGTCGGTGGTTACGTAAAAATCAAGAATTTTGCCAATTGTATGATTTTCTAAATGCGGAAGTTTTGTTTGTTGTTTTTTTTTTACATTTTTTTTTTTTTTTTTAATAACACGCTAGCTTTAAAAATTGAATATAATAATAGATAAAGTTAGAACTTATGAAAAAAGGTAAAGTATAACGTATTGAATTGCAAACGTTTAACGGAATAGTAAGAATTAAAAAAAGGATCGATCGTTCGAGTATATTTTCTTTTTCATTAATCGTGTTTAACTTTCCATGGCGAAAGGTTTTGAATCATTTAATAGATATTTTTGTACACGTATACGCGTAATTACAAACGGAATAATCGTTTCATACGTTGATTGTATAATGTAATCCGAAAAGAAACGATTACAGTCTGGTGTATCTGGTGAATTCTGACGAAGGTAAACAAAGTAAGAAATAGTTTTTTTTTTTAACGATAAACGATTTATATTCATAATTATTTTTTCCTTTCTCGTATATATATAAGTTGGCAAATAAAAGTATATTTCTTACGATAGAAAGAAAGACAGAGAGAGAGAGTGAAATGGTGATCGTGAGGTTTACCTTGTCTATCCTACATTTCTCGCAAAAGGAAGTAATGGTTTGCAGTAGTGGTGTGATCGCATAGAGATAAATCGTAGGTGAGTTTGTCTCGGGATACGTAACATATTCTAACTATAGTTAAAGTATAGTAGTTGTGATAATAAAAATGATTCGTACTTATGTTCGACGAGTTATAGATACATAGGATTAAACATATCTATGCATGACTTTGCGGTATTGGTTTAAAACGAAGGAAGAAACGAAAACGGAACTGTAACAGCGAAAGGTAGAAAGAAGGATGTTTGAGATAACGTGGGAGCCGATTTCTTGCATTCGATTTGTACGATCGATAATCGATATTATTTTTCTTAGAATATTACTTTGATTTCTTTTTTTTTTACAAGATCAATAATTAATTATTCTCCAATTTTATATATATTAATTATAAAAAGAATATTTTTATCGAGAGTTTAATAAAAAAATCTTATTTTTAAAGGGAAAAAAAAAAGGCAAAGAAAATGTTTATAATATATTAAAATCATTATTATTATTGGTTTTAATAATATTAACGATTTTTTTCAGCAAATTTTTGCATTTAAGTTTATCACGTAACCCAAAAGGATCGTGCCTGTTTTAAAGATATGATAGTTATAATACGAATAACCGAATGCTTCCGTAGCCGTAAAGGAAGGAAGAAAAAGAAGGATAGGAGGGGCGGGAGCGGGGAAAACGGTCAAGTCAACAACCAGAGCACGGACTTTCGCTTTTTCTCGTAAATCCTTTTTCGAATCTAACATGTACCATTACCGAATCGGTTATATATTTCAATAGATTTATGCAAAAAGCATGTATAATATTTTGATTATTATTATTATTATTATATAAGTCAAACGTATATTACATTTTTGTAAAGTATCATTTACTAGAGCTTGCGTTATTTCTCAATACTTAACATATTCAAGTAACAAGATCCATCGATTGATTCTATTTGCGTGCGATGACTACTGCTTCTAGGATTTATACTCTAACATAAGAGGGAAGAAAATTCTTTTCAATTGAGATCGGGAGATAGAAAGAGAGAGGCGCGAGATACACGTATGCTTAAGATGAACGTTTCTCGTTGGACGAGAAAACGGGTGTAATGGTGATCGAAACGAAAGAATGTTCCCTTCTTCTTCTTCTACTACTTCTACTTCTACTTCATTTTCCTCTCTTTCTTCATCACTTTTCTATATATTTTTTTTTCTTTTTAAATAGATCTCGAAATATATTATATAGAAAAAAAAAGAATATATGACAGTTACCGATGATCACGATCGACAATTACGACTACGACAATAATGACGAAGAGAACGAAATTCAAAAAAGAAAGAGAGAGCGGGTGTTGTGTGTGTTGTGTGTGTGTGTGGGGTGGGGGGAGGGGACCAATCCCTATCTCTTTCGCTCTCACTTCCTCGCTTGTTTCCTCGCTCGTAGTCTGTCCCAAAGGGGAGTGGTGGTTGGCCGAACGGTGGGACCGTCGTCGTTCGTAGCGAACAAAGAGGTGTAACGTGGGGGGTATATGGCGTGCTCTTGGACCCGGGGTCCGTCCGTATTGCGAAGGCGAAAGTGTGCCGTGTATATAAGGCCCCGAACGAACGGCAATCAGCATCCAGTTCACTTCTGGACGCACCCGGAACATCGCGAGAGCCAAAATGAGAATCCTGGTACGTCGAAAATTATTCGAGAATCCAAACCCCCATCACCACCCCCCTGTTCTTGGTCCTTCGATAAACGCGGGGAACATATAGATCGTATATATATTACGGGTCGTCAGTGATAATAATATTCGCGAAAAGTTATATTGAAAATGATTTTGATTATTGTATTACGGGAAAAGTGATCGTTACGTAGGCATGGTGGAATTATAATTATTCGCGAAAATATATAACGTTTATATTTTTTTATAATTAATTATTTAATCGGTTAATTGTTACGATTATATTTTTGTTCCTGATCCGTTCGATTAGTTCTTCAAACGATAATCGTAAATCTCGATTATATTGCGAAAGGATCCGATAAATTGCATCAATATTTTGCAGATATACCTGGCGGTAATCACTTTCGTATCCTCGGTCGCATTGGCCGGGGAATCCGCAAAAGCTGCGGAAGACAAGAGCGCAACATCTAAGAAGCAAGAGAAACGCGGCATTTTGGGTCTTGGATACGGCTATGGCTATGATGGAGGATACGATATTGGGTCAGCAGGACACGGTAGTGTGGAATTAGGACATGGATATAGCGGCGGATATAGCGGCGGATATAGCGGTGGATATGGTGGAGGCCATGGCGGAGGGTATGGCGGAGGTTACGAGGGCGGATATGGTGGCGGCGGCGGCTACGGACAAGAGCACGTTAAAACCGTTACCGTAGTCAAAAACGTAGCTGTGCCATATCCAGTGGAGAAGCACATCCCTTATCCTGTAGAGAAGCAAGTACCAGTTCCAGTAAAGGTTCCAGTACCACAACCTTATCCCGTAGAAAAACACGTGCCTTATCCAGTGAAGGTTCTCGTTAAGGTACCGGTTCACGTGCCGCAACCTTACCCCGTCGAGAAGAAGGTTCCATACCCAGTACATGTTCCCGTAGATAGGCCCTACCCCGTCAAGGTCTTTGTCCCACAACCCTACCCAGTTGAGAAACAGGTGCACGTTCCAGTCAAGATCCCAGTACCACAACCCTATCCCGTTGAAAAACCAGTTCCCTATCCAGTCAAGGTTCCCGTCCATGTACCACAACCGTACCCAGTCGAGAAACTCGTACCCTATCCAGTGAAGGTACCAGTTGATCGTCCAGTCCATGTCCCAGTTCCCAAACCTTACCCAGTTCATGTCGAAAAGCCTGTACCTTACCCAGTCGAGAAACCAGTGCCCTATCCCGTAAAAGTACATGTTGACAGGCCATACCCAGTACCCGTAGAGAAGCACGTACCCTATCCAGTGAAAGTACATGTACCACAACCCTACCCGGTGGAGAAGCCAGTACCGTATCCAGTGGAGAAGCCAGTACCGTATGCGGTCAAGGTGCCAGTCGACAGACCGTACCCCGTACACGTCGAGAGACCAGTACCATACCCAGTTGAAAAACCAGTACCGGTTCCAGTAAAGGTACCGGTACCCGTAGCAGTCCATCATGGTGGTTACGAAGGTGGTCATGGTAGTTACGAAGGTGGTTATGGTGGTTACGACGGCGGAAGCAGCGACGGATATCACTATGGTCATCATTAAATCGATCAACATGCGCAACTCCCTCATAGTTAGCGGCTTCTAGGCCGAGGACGATCGACGACGACAACAACGATGAGGAATCGGCCTGGTATTCACCATTCCTCCTAGTATATTACGTATTATAGGTATGTGTCGTTGCCGTCGTCATCGTCATCGTCGTCGTCATCGTCGTTGTGCTAAGCTTCGATCGATATGCACTTGTACCTGGATCCGATATCTCGATGAGAGAGATCCGGTACGAGCTAGCTCCTACCGGATTTCGATCGTATCTTCGAAATCGGTCGCAATAATAAAGAATAAAGAACAATACGGAGCCGGCGGCACAGCGGCGTGGGCCAAGCCACCAACTCAAAGAGGGAGACAACAACAAAAATTAGCTAAGGTGTCCCGAGCTTTGTAGTGTAACGCGTTCTATTCCTTATCTTACTTTTATACCGAAATAGTAAAGTATATGTAATATTTTTTTTTTTGTATAAAATAATATAAATGTGATAGAAAACATAATCGTTTATTATTCCTCGTTTATTTCCTTATTATTATAATACGTTTCCGTATCTCTCTCTCTCTCTCTCTCTCTTTTTCCTTTAATTTCATTTCAAACGAAATGATCCATTTTCAATTAAACGACTGTTGAAATCTTACAAAAACTTATGTAAATGAGAAAATATCGAGAAGTAAAGGGGGATAAAATTTTCTATTTCTTATTTCTGGAACGCGTAACGTTACGTAAAATCAATGCTTGAAATTGTTACGTTGGCATACGATGAAGGAGAGCCACTTGAAAAGCGTGTAGAGTGAAAAGGAAGCGAGCCCCACGATGACGTTGCTGCCTTCTTTCACGGTACGTGCAGCTTTCCAATGAAAACTTTCGTCTTTCGAGTATACTAACACATCAATATGTTACTAAAGTATATACATATATAAATGTATGTTAAGAGAGAGAAAGAGAAGTGGTCCTATCGGTGTCACGAAATTGAATAACACATCGGTGACCCACTCTACGACCTATGCCAAGTTGTTTCCCTTAAAATCGATAAACGATTACCCTCTCACCTCTTTACTCTTCTTTCTAAGACCATCACTTTCATGCATCTCATAATTTTCTTCTCTACCCTTATTCAGCCTCGGATAAATGTACAAGACTATCGACTGCAGACGGTGCGTCTTTCTGACCCACTTTTAGCTCGGTATAATAATAGAGATGATACGTGGGAAAGAGTTATATAATTTACGAACTGGCATAATAAATCTATTTCTTTTTTTTTCATACCCAAAAAAAAATTAATATAACTATAATGAAAAAGATAATAACGTATAATAATCAATTTCATTTAAAACTTCTTCATATTACTTTTATTTTTGTACAAATGCGTGCCCCGATTAATGAATATTACTTTTTTAAGAAACGAGAAATATTTTATGATATTGTAATATCAATATAAAAATATTATTATATATATATTTATGTAAACACCGATTGAATGCGAGATTAAGCAAGAAAATAAACGTTATTATTATTACGATCTTGAGCGTTTAATAGAACGTAGGAAGATTGAAGGATCAGTCCTCGCTCCACTTCCTTTGTACATGAGGAATCGAGACGATTTGCTTGCCTTTGCCACTCGTGAATCGAGTGACTTCTATTCGTAGAAGAAGAGGTCTTATGCAATCTAACTATTAGCGCACGCGACACCGAGACTGAAAGTAAGAGTCTTCCCTTCGCCATGAAACGAAAGAACGATCCTTCCGTTAGAAAAGCTAATTCCTTCCTCTTGCCCTTTTACTCATTTACGTTACACGATTTTACTTTTTTTTTTCCCCTTTTTTTTTTCCCATTTTTTTTTTTTACCTATCTCGTTTCTCTTTACCCGATCCTTTTATTCACTTTTACTTTCCATTTACGCGCTAAGTTAATTTATTTCTGTTTTTTTTTTTTTTTTTTCTTTTTTCATGTAAAAGTAAGACACATTTAACACGATATATTGAAAAATATATTAGAATGTGATGTATATCAGAATATGACATTCAATTATTTTTTTTTATAATACTTTAATGTGTTTTAAATATATCTATTGTAAGTTCTATTTTATCGATTGATTCGTTACGCGGTAATGAAAAGAATTATTTCATACGACCAACGCGTCGATAATGTAGTCATTCTGATTTACTGACGAACGATAATAATCTCGTCATGTTAATATGTCCACCATTTTATTTTTTTCTTAAAATGAAATATTTCTAAATTTTATATTTGAAATCTCTTAACAGAGGAGACATTATTTAAATTCGATTAAAATAGCGATAAAAATATGTAAATAATTGAAATTTGTATTAACGGTGTCATGAGTTATGTTTGATGCGTTGTATAATAATAAAAACATAAAAAAAAAAGGATGCTCCTTGATCTTTTAGCGTATGTTTGTTGCAAAATATCCGGCAAGTGAGTTTCGAGAATCGACTGCAAGATAAATACGATGCGTTAAGTTTAAGATAATACGATAGATCTTGATTATCCTGGCTCACATTGTAAAAGATAATATTAAATGTTAAAAAGAAAATTACGCGTTAGAGAAGTCATGCTTATTTATCGAGGTCGAAGAACCGAGTTTCTTCGTGAGAAATATAAACGCGTACGATTTCTTTTTTCTTTATCTCTCTTTTTTCTTTTTTAAGGAAACTTCTTTTTTTAATGCGAAAATAATATTCTAATTTGATCAAACTTTCTTTTTCTTAGTTTTTCTTCTTTTTTTTTTTTTTTTTGTAATTAATTGACGAAAGAAACACGCGATTTAAATAAATAATAATAATTACTGATAACTAAGTATTACGGTTAACTCTATTTAAGTATATTGAAGAAGATATTATTAAGAGAAGCAATTGTATTGTACAATTTAATATCTGTTCTAATTTTAATTGTTTTCTATCGAATAATACGTTTGAAAGAACAAAAAATAAAAAAGAAAATCACGATAAGATTGAAACATACGTATCATTATCAATTTGAAGAAAGTACGGATCATGTTAAACGGCATTTGTACGAGCAAGGTTAAGCTTAATGTGATTGACCATTCATAAAATGAAATCTTATGGTGAGAAAATAAGCTCCCTTACTTAAAGTCAATCCAATCGTCAATAATACTTCGTGTTTTTACCATGGCGTGTTCTGCTATCATTTCGAAGGCATCGAATTGCTTTGAACGATCGTGATCCGTGTATATGTATCGTGCAGTTAATTACGTTTATAACACCATCGCCATAGAGCGTTAAATGCTCGGCACGAAAGGAGAATTCGAACAGCGTATCTAATGTAAAGGAAATTTGAAACGTGCGATACGATGCCGATACGATCTTCAATCTGTCCGTTCGAGAAACTGTGTGAAATGGATCTGAGGAATGTAAATGACCCTTTTTTTTTTTTTTTTATATTCTATCACTTAGGTTTCAGAAACGTTTCAAAGTGTCAAACGCAAATTATCCACACCTGCATAAATTAATTCGTTCTAAAAGTAGAGTTACTTGCATTTTTCATATTAACAATTTTTATATGCATAATTATTTTTTAACTCGTCTCGTATTATTTTACTAATTTATATACAAAGAAAGTACAACGAAAAAAGAAACAACATATTTTGTGCAAATAAAAGAAAAAAAAAATAACTTTAGGGAGGATGTAATATTTGATACGGGAATTGAAATTATAGTATTAAAAATAATACTTTTATTTTATTATGATTTATATATACGGAGAGACAAGTTCTTTGAACTTGATTCGAGAAAATAGTTGTTAGTGAAAATGAGAATTTACCAAAAGCAGAGTAATTGATAAAAACAGGATATGTATTGTGTAGGTATTTCTCATGTATCACGATCAGTTACTTTTCTTCAGAACGACCATTGCTTGTTATCTTGAAGACTAAGTTTCACTTTTGACAGACTCCATCAAGAGTACAACGGCTTGAAAACGCGAAAGTTGTTTAACTCCCCTCTCGTAAGATGACCAAGAGTAAGAAGAAGGTGTATGTTCAGCCTCTGGATCAGTGGCAACGGTTCAACCCATTTGAGTATATAAACTAAGATCGTAGAAATGATCTACATTATTGTATCTCGTGGCTTAAGTGTAAGCTAAGACAAATTTATAAAGAAGAAATAAAAGATTGAAGAGGAGAACACACAAGAAGGAACCCCGTAGGATCTAAGAAGAATTTGTTACTATGGGTTGTACGGTGCGTTGTTTATCGCAGATTTAAGGGACCAAAACGTTTAATATTAATTACGATTAGTGAAATTTCGGTGTTTATGAACTTGACAGAAATCAAATGACAAATTAGTTTATCAAATTTGGTTCTTCGACAGTGTCACCCAGCTATGGCCTTGGCGTTTTTCGTAGCCGTTGTTACGAGTACTCCGATTGATGATCAATCCAATTATCAAAAGAGGATTTATCTTTACGAAGATTTACCTATTGAAACATACGAGAGAAGAATATTTTATATAAGACCACAGAGATTCGTTAGCAAAAATAGACGAAATTATTTGGATGAGGAGGATGACAAATCGTCGAAATACAAGAACGATGATGAATCTACCGAACAAAATAATTATGCTTACGAGGATCCCCTTGCCGTTCCGTGTAAGTAAATTTCCATCTATTCGATAAGTTTTGTTTTTTTCTTCATAGTTTATAATTATAATTGTAACATCGATAAATAAAATGATTTGATTTTGTTTAGCCGAACAATACGAGGATCATTACGAGGAACCCGAAGAGAATGGATACTCGTTTGAGTCACACGTCCCCGAAGATAACTCACATGAGAATCACTTTCTGGAACATGACTTACACGAAAACGTTCACAAGACGATCACAATTATTAAAAAAGTCGCTGTACCGTATCCCGTGGAAAAGATTATACGATATCCCGTGGTAAAAAATATACCATATCCAGTCAAAATACCAGTATCACAACCATACGCTGTTGAGAAAAAGGTTCCTTATCCTGTAAAGGTTTACGTAAAGGTACCTGTGAAAATTCCTAAACCAGTGCCCGTGATAAAGGAAGTACCGTATCCGGTGAAAGTACCGGTTGATCGACCGGTTCCTGTTAAAGTTTATATACCAGAGCCCTATCCCGTAGAAAGGAAGGTTCACTATGAGGTTAAAGTACCAGTTCCGGATCCCTTTCCAATTGAACGGAAAATACCGGTGCCGGTAAAGGTACCTATACATGTTCCGCAACCCTATCCAGTTGAAAAAATCGTACGTTATCCTGTGAAAATCGAAGTTGAAAAGCCAATACCGGTACCAGTATCAAAACCGTATCCTGTTCATGTTAGTAAGCCAGTTCCTTATCCGGTAGAGAAACCAGTACCCGTTCCGGTAAGGGTCGAAGTGCATAGACCGATTCCAGTACCGGTTGATAAACCAGTGCCGGTAAAGGTCAAGGTACCGGTGCCTGCACCCTATCCGGTTGAGAAAGAAGTACCTTATCCGGTAGAAAAACCAATAGCTGTACCAGTCAAGGTACCAATCGATCGACCGATCCCTGTTCATGTGACTAAACATTTGCCTTATCCTATTCAGAAACTTGTACCTTATCCCGTTAAAGTTGCAGTACCTGTACCAGTTCACGACGAGGACAACGAACAACAAATTATCAACTCTGAATATTATAATTCTAACGAAAATGAATATTGATAAAATTAGTTTCTAAAAGACACCTGAATATCATTTTTGTCTCGTTCATATTTTTTTGTTCATTTAAAGATGGCTTCGTGATCATTTCTATATTGTAAATAGAAAATTGTTTTAGTCTCGTTAATAATTGTAGAAAGTTATTATTTAGAGGATATAAGTAAACAATAAAGAAGAAAGATTTTAATTAATTGTGTAGATGTGTATTATAAATTTATAATTATTATGTAAGTTTTTTTTTTTAACTACGCTTCAAATGGATTAGGCGATGGAAAGATGCAAATGACGCCATCTTATGGGATCCCGTGAAACTTGTATGTTTCCTCAGACAGTAATCAACACCGATTGTTGGAAAAGAGATAACCTGTTCTAGTTTGTCTGTGTTATTTCAATAAAAAATGTTTACAAATAATTTGGATAATATCTTTTTTTACAAATCCTATCCCATATAAGAATAATAATTATTATTTGTTATATAATTTTTCAAGTTTCACTATATTTTTTAATAAATCAAAAAGAAAAACTAGTTATCTTCAGAAGATAGTTCATTGATGAGTTTGAATCACGGTAATCCTAATTTAATATTTTACGGTGTTAATTACCAGAAATTTCGTCTTCTATTATTTTCGAGAACTTACGATTACTTAAAATACTATTTCTTGCAATAAAAAGGATTAGAAACAAAGAGTACGTTTATCCTATTAATTATGATACACCTCGTTAGTTTCAACATGATATATCAGATTTAAACGAAAAGAAAGTAGACGAACTAGGAAGTGGTAAAGAACGTTTTATAGAAGTTTACTACAAAATATATTGCACTTATTGTTGGTGTTAGTTAATTATATAAAAAAAAAAAGAAAAGTAAAGTAAAGTAAAGAAAAGAAAAGAAAAGAAAAGAAAAACAAATTAAGAAAAGAACAACATTCTCATGCGTATTTGCCAATCCTTGTTATTTTTTTTTTTTAATAAAGCAAAAAAGAAGATCTTGAAGAAGTCACGCGACAAATCGAGACGATTAAGAGATATTGCCGGATTAGTCGAGCGCGAGAAAGTTATAACACGAGTTTGTAAAAACACAATGTGTAAAACTTTTACACCGGTCTCGGTTTCACTGCACTTGATACATGAGAGAATCTGCAGAATATCTTATTAGTGAATATTATACAAAAGGCAAAAAAGTACGAATTTTGTAATTTACAAAAAAAGTACGATAACTAATAAACGAAGAAATCGATAAAATTGTATGCGAAAATATGACTTTGATTAGAAATTAAAAATTAGATGAAAAGAAATAAACAAAATTTTGAGAGAGAGAGAATCTTTGTTTAAAAGAAAATTAAATAATATTCTTTTTTATGATGCATGATCGATTTTACGACAAAATTATAGAAAGTAATAATATTCCGTACGCTTTTCTCATTAACTCTAGAATTCTCAATTTCTATTTGAGAAATGTCGTAAAATCTACGAGCTTAAAAGAAAACAAAACAAAAATATTCTTCGCACACAACGGCGTATACAAATTTTTCTCTTCTTTACGCATTACACGCGTAATAAGAATTTGTTCGGGTTTATATTATTCTTACTGCGAAATTACGCGGTCTAACATTTAATAGTTCGGTAAGAGCAATTTATCTCACATACCTTAATTATTTATAGTGTTCAAGTTTTTAGTTAATGGCACGAGGAAATAGATAGAAGAGAATTTTGATTACTTTCGAAGACCCGTTATTCTTCGTCGCTTGGGTGTTAGCTTTTAAGAGTATTAGAACCTCACGAAAAAACAATGATGACCATTTAAGCGTAGATAATTGTCATGAACACGAGCCTGTACGGACTATAAAGGTCCAGCTAGTTCAACCGGGGAAAGTGGTTCGCTGTGTATAAATAATAGTCGGATAGCAAACCGTTTGGTTTCAGTTTGTATTGATCTCTAGTATCGATTAGATACAATTCATCATGATACGTCATTTGGTACATCAATTTTCATATGAATTTATTACAAATTTTCTAACTCTCTTGTTGAAAATTAATGAAATAACATTTTCAAATACAGGAACAAATATTGATCTGCTTTTTGTGCCTTGGAATTGCTATAACATCCTCGGCAAGTCGTAAAGAAGATCTCGAGAGGGCAGCTGAACTGGCGGTAGAGAAAGCTGCTGAAAGGGCAGCGGAAAGGGCAGTAGAGAAAGCTTTAGAAAGTGGTAACACTACTACGGAATCAAAAACAATTCGGGAATCCTATTCGAGTATTAGGAAAGGTGGTAGTCGAGAGAGGGTTAATAACGAGTACGGCACTCGATACTCTGATTTAAGAGACGACGAGGATACGGAATCCGATGCTGAGGGTGACACCGATGATTGGAGTAATTTTTCTAGAAACAGATGGATCGGTGGACGCGATTTTTGGAGGAGAAGTTTGAGAAACGATTGGATAAACGATCATCAACATGGAAAAATTAAGACGATTATTGTAGAGAAGAAGATTCCGGTACCAGTGACGGTAGAAAAGAAAATTCCATTTACGGTTTACAAACACGTGCCCTATGAAGTGAAGGTTCCTGTACTTCAGCCATACACCGTTGAGAAAAAGGTACCCTACCCCGTGAAAGTGTTCGTGAATACGCCCGTAGAGGTACCGGAGCCGTATCAAGTAGAGAAGAAAGTGCCTTACGAGGTGAAGGTCGACAGGCCCGTGCCGTACAAGGTCGAGGTACGGGTACCACAGCCATATACCGTTGAGAGGAAAATACCTGTGGAGGTGAAGGTATCGGTGCCTCAACCGTACACCGTCGACAAGACCGTGCCGTATGAAGTAAAGGTACCAGTAAAAGTACCGACACCATACGAGGTCGAGAAAAAGGTTGCCGTGCCAGTCAAGGTCACTATAAATCGACCCTACCCTGTTTCAGTACCGAAACCCTATCCCATAGAAATCGAGAGACCTTACCCCGTTGAAGTACCTAAACCTTATCCCGTTAAAATCAAAGTCCCAGTTGATGCACCATACCCTGTACCAATAGAAAGACCTGTACCAGTCCCAGTCAAAGTACCACAACCCAAACCCTACACGGTTGAGAAACATGTACCCGTAGAAGTACCTAAACCGTATCCAATACCAATCAAAGTTCCTGTGGACAAACCTTACAAAGTTTACGACGAAGCACGTGTACCTGTACCAATCCGAAAACCCTTCCCTTATTGGGTCCAAGTTCCGGTGCCTGTTAAACTCGGTTGGCAAAAATTTCGGCACCATTCAGTAGAATCTTTCGAAAGTAAAAATGATTCTACGATGAACCGAAGGACAAACGATGCTTATAAAAATTCAAATATATCCTCGCGAAGTTTGTGATTTTTAATTTAATAATTAAATAGTTCGGCAGAATTTATTAAATAATTTATTATTTCTTAGCTTTAAGGTATATATATATATATATATTTTTTTTTTTTGTATTCTTCTACGCATGCTTTTAGGATAGATTTAAGTTAAATTGAAAAATAAAATAAAAACAGACTAAAGTGTTTTGTTGGAAATCGACACGAGTACAATTTTTATCTCGACATATATTTTTTGTTTTTAAAAAATACTTTCATTTAATAAAGTTCAACGTTTTTTTTGTTAAAACTGCAAATAGGTTTTTGTTTTCCTGCGCAATATATATTCCTTCCCCGGTAAGCAATATACTCGTATAGAATTTCTTCCTAACGACTTAATGAACGACTACGCCTTGTGATTTCGATGATGCAAAAATGATTTAGCCCGGATTGTAGGAAAGTAATAAAACGAATTCTTGTTCGAGTTTTCATTTTTTGATAGGGGGAAAAAAAAAGAATAAACCAAAGAGAACAAAACAAAACAAATTCATGTTACAAAAAATAAGAAAATATAATAATTATCTTTCCATGATTCTTCTTTCTCTTAGAATCATTCAAAAAATATTAATCTGTAATAATTATTCTACTGATCGAATGATTCAAATCAAAATAAAACTTTAGTTTAAAATATATACCATATATGAACAAAAATACGAACAAATAAGGCACGCATATCACGAGTTGAATCGCAGAATAAAAGATAGTATTCGATCTCGCTTGGCATCGCCCACCTTTTTATCCTCCCCCTTCCCCCCCCCCCATCCACCACCACCACCCCGCAAATCCCCGCGAATTACCGTGCCACTCGCTTCTCTTTAGATATATCCTTTCGTTTACTTCCTAGGACTCTCTCTTTCTATCGTACCAAAGTTTAGTTCCTCGTTTCGGCTGAGAAGAGCCGTGCAGTTGCGAGTGTGCCGCGTCACGAGGCAGATGGGAGATACATATAAATGATTGGAGTAGGGAAACGAGAAAGAAGGAATTAGATATGGGGAAGGGGGAAAGAGAAGGAAGAGGCGAAGGGGGTGTTGGGGGAAGGAAAAGAGGTAAACTTCTGGCCAAGAGTTTGTATGCATGTATATGAGAAACTTGGAATGGATCAAAGATTCAAAGTAGAAAAGAGAGATGTCTTGTTTATGTCCCCTATAAGCTGCTTGGAAGAATGCGTAATAACATTTGGACGTAGGTTTTCTAATATAATATTCTAGAAATAGTCAGTATAATTCTATCAATTATATATCTAATCTATAATTTAGAAAATAAGTTAAGTGATAGCCAACTGAGTTACGGTTAAAATAAAATAAATCATCCATGGTTGCCTAACACGACATTATTATTTTGTATATTATGGTTTGGTAATGGTTAAATTAGCTGGTTAAATCGATTATGTACTATCTAATGCGAAAAAAATCTAGATAATCAATTAGGATAGGTGGTTTTGTTGTATTTCATTTATAAAAGAAAATAATTCTTCAGTGACTTCCTACATATCATTTACGCTACGTTTGATAGATCGGTAGCAAAAGGGAAGTAAAATGAGAATGGAAACGCATCAAGGCGCGTTACGGAATCATCGTCGCGTGGATTTAAGA